ATAAAGAAATTTAAATGTTAATATTTTATTTCAAATATATAACTTCAAGATAAAGTTTAGATTATTTGTCAGGAAGAGAACCCTTTGAAGAACTGGGTTTAATTGGCAATTAGTAACGTATAACATGCTTGGAAAAGACAAAAATTACTTTACTCTCATGCTGCCTCAGTGTCTTCTTGGGAGGATGTTTCTAAAGAGTCTCTCTGATACTTCACATTAACACTGGAGGGATAGAATAGAGAGTTTAAGCATCACCAAATTATGAGCTAAGAATTTTGTGCCCGACCTTGTGCTTTTGGTAGACATTTGAAAGAGCGACTTTTCACAATTGTGACAAACTCAAAATAACCCACTCTCGAGTTGAAACTGTAACGGTAAACTTCCAAAAAGCTTTGAACATCATGCTTAAAAGCTCTCTAATATCTTGTTGTTATTTGTAGGGCTGTATATCCCATATTTCAGTTACAAATCAAAGGTCTATCATATAGAAAAATGTAGGCTAACTGTAGGCCATATCTAGGCTATACCAGATACTAGGTGGCTAATACAGGGTACTCAGTGGACTGGCAGCCAGCAAAATATTGCCATTTATAACTCAGTTAATCGTCAGCTGCTTAAAAATTTACTGAAAAAAGTCAAATTAACTCTTATTATATATCAGGCCATGATTTGACTAAGAGTAAAACACTAAGTACTGTAAATTCCTAGAATGTTATTATGAGAACAAATCTATTGTCAATGGCTATTATTTTCATGTGTTTTTTTTATTCACCTGGGTGTACGATGACATTTGTAATATTTAATATAACTACATTGTGTAATGATGCTACAGTCACCAGCTCTAATGGTCTCTTGTTATTTAATTTAATTGCAGAGGTTACAGCCATCCAGCTCCTTAGAAGTATTGCCACCTGAAGGTATATGCCATACATGCAAAAGAACTTTCAATGCGATTGGGTTCACTACAAAGTTTTGAACATTTTATGACATCAAATAAAGTGTGACTCAAAAAGAGGACATACATGTACAATGTGCGCAATTTGCTCAATATTTGATATTTATGAAACTCTGATTTGCCTTATACACTGTCCCTCAGTTAGTCTCCATTGCCCCTTGAGGGGAGGGACAGGAAGCCAGAAGCACAATCTTACGTGGGTAACTTACATGGGGAATGTTTACCGGGGCAAGAATACTTTGGATGGGGCGAGATTATGTGAAAAGACTGTGTGTGATATACCACGGGATGAAATTACTTGATACCAAAAATGGATGCAACTAAACCCCAGTTGGATTTTAGTCGATATTTCACAAATTTCTTGTGTTTTCCTTTTTGATGCTAGACAAAGTCTTCCTTCAAATTGTTGACAGGTTCCCAAAGTTTTTTATTTTTCCGATGTATTGCAAATGTGGAATTACTTAATATTTTTAACTGATCTTACTCTTTTCTTTAAGATGCTGGTGGTATTCCATCTGAGGTAAATGTGTGTCTACTGTTAAGTTTGATTGGAGTCTAGGTCATGTTGTTGTGGAGCATTTGCTTATTTTTACCACTCTTGCTGATTATTCAATTAGAATGTTTCAATAAGAGAACAAAACACACTGTGCTGACAACATGCTCAGTTAAAAGTCTACTTGGATGAAAAATGGCGAAACACTGGAAAAGGCACGGAATTCTTGTAGACTTATCAATAAAGATCCTATAATCACGAAGCAATGTATTTTGACAAGATATTGATACAATTTCTTAGGAATTTTGTCAAAAGATTTTGGAGTATATGACGTCATATACTCCATCCTTTTGTTCTATCTACGTTTGAGTCAAAAAATGTTCTGCTTTGGAATGACTCCATAACAAAACTTTTCTCTGAGAAAGCATTATAGGTATATATGAGTCATATATTTGAATTACACAGGGTTCTGAAATTAGTGCTTCTTCGTGCAAGTAGCACTTTAAAAGAAATGAATCATGGTTTTTGTTAATTGTTTGATTAAAAAAATGTTTAAAGAATCTGTTAAATTGAAGATGAACTTTTTTTAGCTCAGTCTTCAGGCTTCTGGGATATGAAATCCAGAAGGCTGAAAACAGAGTGCATAAGAAGTTTTCTTTGTAACAAATAATTTGTGTACAATCAGCACTATCAGTCAAAAGATTTCTGTGGTAATAACGAACTTTAACAGACTGTATCATGACAGACTTCGAGTAGTTTTATTGGCTCCTTGTGCTCCTAATACATGTACAATGGCAACACCCTTATAAGGCTGCATTCATTATGTATAATTCAGGGAGAGGGGCAAAGGATTTTTTTTTGGGGGGAGGATATGAAAATTTAGGGACTGGAAAGGGGGGATGTCAAATTTTCTGACCATACATAAAATGTCTATAATGTCTATCGCACAAATTTAGGGGGGATATGAAAATTACTGCTGAGATTTGGGGGGGATCCAAAATTTTTGTACCTTCTAGTAAAATTTCCTCTGCGCCCCCCCTGAACATGCGCATGCAACAGAGACCTACATGTAATCCTGAGTTGGCTGTCTTGTTTATGGTATCATAAAATGAGCAAGGCACTTCATTTGAATGTATACTTTATTATAGATATTTCAAATATCAGGATATGATGTCATGCTGCATTGTATACAGTCACCTTCAAAGCTCTGTACMAACAGTTTAAAGAGACATGCTACGTACATCTTTATATTTCTAGTAAACAACACTATTGAACTTTCTGTTTACAGCTTTTCTCTGCTCTTGAGAAAGACGTCAACATTGAGGACTTTGAAGAGACCGACAGTGATCATGAATTGTCAGGAGAGGAATCTGGTAATTATGTTTGTCATTTTTTAAAATTACTTACTAATAAATGTCCTTAAATTACAAGACAGTAGTGCACAGGGCGCCGGCAATGCAGCCTAGCGCGTCACTAATTTGCACTGTCTCCAATATTTGTTGCACGCTGACAAACAAACTATGTATATGAAGTACAGTTAAGTACAGCATATCAGTTGGATGTACGTTCCCATCTCTAGACAGTTACATTTTCACCGATGAAAGCAATTCTGGTTTCCAGGATAGGGATTCCGGATTCCAAGCTGTTTTTTTTTTTACTGTATTCCAGATTCTCTTAACTGAAATGTACTTTAACTTTCTAACAATAAGAAAAAATCGTATTGAAGCTCAGATGTTTTGTTTTTTTCAGATGAGGGTAGAGAAGGGAATCGATCGAGAGCCTCAACAACAGAACAAGAAGACATACCAGCCCTTGAAGATAGTGATCCACAAATACGAGAAGGAATGGAACGAATCAAGAAGCTGGATAAAATACTTGCAGACAAACTCAAGGTAAGAAATTGAGGAGAGGGGACCGAAACGTAGATTTCTGGAAATCACATTCAACAAAAGTTTAATTCATATAAAAGGCATTTTCAAAGATATCCAGATTGTTTCCGTAGTTCTATTGTAAACGATAGGCCTATAAACACTTGAACAAACAACACAGCAGTTTCGACAATACTCGAATATACGTGTAAAAGAAGCCCTGGTATTAATTATTCATTTTATTCCACTCTATGAAACGATTTTCACTAAATGTGCAAGTTTTTTTCAAGTAGGCGCCGGCTTACCTGTAGAATTACGTTTGGGACGCTACGCAAATGTTTTGTCCCGTATAGTAAAAAAGAATATGAAAATGGTGAAAAAGCGAGTAAACACGATGTTATACCGAATTACTCTCACGTACTTCCAGGATTTGGCATAGTGGCTTGAGCCTGGTTCCGAAGCACTAGCCACAAAAACTGACTGAGGTCTTGATGTGATGACCAAGAGTGTAAGCTTTGGTGCATTTGTAAAAGCGAGGGCAGTTTATCACTATAAGCATCGATATCAAACAAGTAAACAAATTTTTCTGCTTCCCTTTTGTTGTTTATTGCGCTAATTTGGTTGAGGTTACCGCGGGTCGGGCAGCTCGTGAAGAACTCCACCGTGCGTCAGCAAGTCAAAGCTCCCCCTTCCTAGGATATCGGACCGAAAAATAAAATCATATAAAATAAATTACACTAATTAAGTCATTGAGAAAATAATATTAGGCTTGTTTGTCAGTGATCTCCATTGCAGAGACTTTTTGGTTGTGAATAAGAAGGAACTCTGTTAAGGATATGAGAAATCGTCTAAAAAGAACATCTAAAAAGAACATGAATTCATTCATTTGTTCTTTCATATGCTTGTTATTATTAGACTGTGTTCATCATCTTTGGAATTTCAGAAAGAAAAGGAAGTCAAAAGCCAAAGAGTTCAAATGGAAAAAATGTGGAAAGAGCAACTACAACAAATGGTCAAATCACAAGGGCATGATGGCACAAATAACAACAAAAATCTAATTGGTGCTGCTCTGCTTGCTTTGGAACTTGGCAACGAAGACTCGTTAGGTAAAACCAAACACTGTCACTGTGTCAACACTGTTCCAGTTTATTTCATAGATGAWTTAAAATAATTGGAAAGGCAATTTAATATTGCATCAATTTTTAAATTTAAAGAGAATTTTTAAAATGACTTATTTACATGATGGTGATCTTATAAAAAATCGGCCTCAAATTGATTGAAAAATGGCTGTTAAAAGGCACCTGTATGATGATGAATGTGGTAGTGATGAAATTTCACACCTAAGAACGACCAATCAATAGCGGTTCCTCTATTTCCAGTGCTTGTATGAGTTTATGAGGTTTATATCGCCATCCTAGAGTCATCTTATACCTTAGAATTATTATTATTACATTAGGCGGGACTGTACCAAAACATTGATTCCAAACCCTTAATGCGGCAATGAGGTCCACCGCCCCCTTACCTAACCGAGTCTCCCTTGACTTCATAAAAAGAAGATTGATTATTGAGCCTTGGATGCAGTTTACTTGAAATGCCATTTCTTCTAAATTAGGATCAAGTAGAGAAGACCCTTCTACTCCTATCTTTGCTACTCAACCTCTGGGGACTGAAGAGAATTATTATCAGGCCAGCAACTCCACTACAGGTTTGTCATTTGATTTAATCCCAGAATACAATACATGCAATACATGATATTCCAAAACGGTTTAGGAAACCCTAAATATTACCAGATTATCTGGTGGCTGTGGTATGAAAACCTTCTTGAGGCACCATAAAAGATACTAGATCCCTGATTTTTACCCCTAAAAGATACGACGACCATCCCCACCCTTCTATAAATGGGTGATAATGGCATCTCCCGAGAAGTGAAGACAACATGAAAATGGAAGTCAATTTTGAAAAGTGGGTGTCGGAATGTACGTGATGCCCTGTTTAAATACACGATTTGCGAATTTCGCCCCAGKTGTCAAATACAAAAGAATCAAAACAAGACGTCCTGCTTAAAGCTCAGTCAATCCTGAAAAATTATTGTCTTTTCACGAATGACTGAGCTTTATGCACGGCRCCTCGTCTTGATTCCTTTGTGTGTGACTACTGAGGCGAAATACGCAAGTCRGCTAGTGTGTTGTAGTAAAAGAGCTCACTTTAAGAAATCACACGAATCCTCCATTTTCATGTCCAGCAAAAATGGCGCTTCGGCTCGCAAGGTACGGCGGTTGGTTGTGATTCTTTAGATCATCTGACATTGCTTTGAAGTTCATTAGTACAACATTTTTTTCTTCTATTTTTGGAAAAGGCAACACATCACGTGCTTCATCCAGCGACAGCACTAAGATAAACAAGAAAAATAGAAATAAAAAGCAAGATAAAAGAAGAAAAAGTGCTCAAACAGAATCAGATAAGAATGCCAATAGGAAGCAGTCTAAGGGTAAAGATATGGGACTCGACTTTATTGAAAGAAACAAAAAGGTACCATTCACCTGACGTTATATATCTAAGACCATCCTGAATGTTTTTTATTTTTCATTATTTTAAATAACTATCACATCTAATGAATGTGTAGAGTGCTCGCACTTAAAGCGTGAAACAAATAGTACTAATTACTACTAAATAGTGTTGATTATACAACAGGAAAGAAAGGAATTTGTATAGTTTATCACCTATTTTGTAGTATTTATATTTCACGCATTTAGTGCGAGCACTCTATTTGGTTTACATAATGATGACCAATAGGACTGACTTAGTCGGCCTCCATAAATGACATCTCATGCAATTGAGAGTGATTCATGGAACCCGAACTACACTTGATATTCCAGGGACTGAAGAGCTCTGGGAAAAAACAACAACATACGGTTTAAAAAAATGTTAATGTTAGCGTTGTAAGGGATTTTTGTCTTCATTAGAGATTGTGTTTTCTGGAGTTTTCTACGTTTTCTTAATGAGCTGCTTGTCTGATCTCAACAACGATGAAATCATTACTTCAAAATGACAGCTTCCTTATTACTGCTGGGGAAGTGGAAGGAACCACCTTTCTGCTCCACTGTTTCGTTGTACATTTAGCAAATTCATTGAACAAGTACATGACTATTCGTTGTTTGTTCGTCCATGCATGGACATATTCATCAGTCCGACCAACCAACATTGCAGAATGCGTCATGTCTGCCCATTTCTTGCAGATTGTCTTGGTAAAGCAGTTTTTATCTTCAYGTACTSAGTAAGTGTTGTTCTTTTCAGCTTGCKGCAGATGCTGCGAATTTGATTCCTATGACTGATRAAGAGAAGGAGCGACTAGAAAAACTCTTATCCGCAGAAACCAACGARATGATGGATGTAAGTACTTACCAGGGATCGTACRGGCCCTGGAAAACCTGGAAAGTCTTGGCATTTCGTATTAGTTTTTCAGGGCCGAAAAGTCATTGATTTTTTTTGAGGGTCATTTGAAAGTCATAATATTCAGGCCCGTAGGCTGCCTTACAAATGGTTCGTTTTTTCATAATGTGGGATAATAATGTGGGTTGGGAAGTTCTTCACTTTGGAAAGTATCAACAACAGGAATGCTCGCTAGAGAAGCCTTCGAAGAGGTGATATACCATGTATGCCATGCAAGGAAACGGAAACCAGGAAAAAGGATAAAATACGCAGCATATGGAGGCTAACAGAGGTCTTGTTTTGTTTTTGATTCCTTAGAATCCCTTCAGTGACGATGGTAATCTTAGACTCACTCAAGGAGATGGATTTACTCCAGATGTAGAATCAGCTCGCGCTTTAGCTGAAATAGATAGGTGAGTTACTAGAGCCATCTTACCGACATTGCATTGTGGTCTTGAAACGTGATATGCAGTATTGAAGACCCACTTTCCTTCATTGTGAAAATGGCGCTTTACAATAAATAAAAAATAAATAAATAAATAAATAAATAAATAAATAAATAAATAAATAAATAAATAAATAAATGAATGAATGAATGAATGAATGAATGAATGAATGAATGAATGAATGAATGAATGAATGAATGAATAAATAAATAAATAAATAAATAAATAAATAAATAAATGAATAAATAAATAAATAAATAAAAAAGATTGACAAACAGAAGACGATAACATTCTTTACCTCTAGCTTGTATTCTTTTCATAATTATAATTTATTATTGTATAGCTTATGTTAGCCACTCAAAAACTCCTTCCTTGTTCACCAACACTACTTTTATYARTTTCTTGCCTAGCCTTAGGTAGTTATTCTATGTTTGTTCATGTTTACTCTTGGGAATTTTCGATAATTTACTGTTCTTTGTCCCATGTTCCATAACACTTTATTCACTTTTTAACYGACACTTTATACAAACACGATTTTAAACTACTTTTATTGATGTCAGGAAACTGGAAGCACTGGTACCGAACAACGAACTGGAGATAATGTCGTCACGTGCTCTCACAGATACACCTTTGTCCAAAATCTCAGATGTTTCTAAAACAGACTCCGATGTAAGCAGTCGTTTTCAAAATTTGATGTCCATTASATAAGAATGCAATAATATACCAGTCATGTGCGTCGAGACCTATTAACGAACGTGCGTTCTTGAAGTAATAATAATAAGTCAGATAATTTTTAAAATGTTTAGCAATTGTTTCTATTTTTTTTTAAATGTTAGTTTTCCGCAACCAAGATCTCGTAATGAAAACAACACCACTTTGATTAAGTTTGCTCAAAATAATGTTTCTAAGTCATGTGGCTGTGCGTTCTTGACAAAATGACCACGTTACGCGCCTGCCAGTATGACAACGCAATATCATTTGAAGTCAGGATTTGTGCTATGTATCAAGTTCTTAAAACCAAGAAAGATATGAAATATTTTTTTCAGGTTATTTCCCGACAAKCGAAAGAAATTCTTGACGATGTTGGTATGTTGGTATTTAATATCATTATATTGTTATTTTCTATTGATGAGCGATTGTTTTGGCTCCTTCTGCGGGCAGTAATTTATCATGCACCCTATGTTAAAGGGCTTTATTATAGAGATAAATTCTAACGCGCGCTCTGATTGGMCAAAAAAGTGTGGTTTATGARAGTATAAACCACGGATGAGCCTTATTTATTTGTTAATTATCATATAATTATATATGGAATACCTATATTTTTCACTAGTAAAAATAACACATTCGAGGTTTCTCTATATATTGGAAGTAAAAAATGTATTTTACGACGGGTCGATTACCGGGCGCGGACCATATGTGAGTTTGAGTTTGTTTGTTGTTGTTGTTCTCTCCCTTGCCACGAGGGTTTTTCTCCGTGTCCTCCTCCCATGGCTCAAGCTGTTGCGGTGTCCCTGCCCAAACTAGGGGCAAAGCTAATAAATTAAAAAAAAAAAACAGGATATTACCTGGTCGCTTTGAGATACGAATTTTATCTTCTTGTTACGCTCACTCGTGAGAGATCTTTTCAAGTCTCCGCGCGCCCATGTAATATCCTCCATATAACAGACCATAACATTTCTGCATAATATATAGAAGAAAAAGCGTAGCGTTATTAAGCAGGACATGGCACTGGTAGCAAACTACGACGTGGGGGTATGCCGCACGACCCCTTAAAAAAAACCCTTAACCTGTCCCAGACCATTTTTATTTTACATACCCTACCCCAGACTAAAAGTACAAAGGTACATTATTTTAGCGCTGAAAGCGTGGCCTAGCAGATACGATCACAGGCAAAACTCCACCCTACCCCAGACAATGAGACTATACCCTATTCTAGACAAAAAACTACCCTATCCCAGACAAAACTACTACCCTAACCCAGACAAATGGGCAAAAATTGATACCCTATCCCAGACTTGGAGCTCTGAAAAAGGGACCCTATCGCGGCAGCAATTTATATTTGTTTGTTTTCAAAATATAACCCCAATTTCACTTTTCAAATTCAATTTCATGAACAAAAATTACAAGCGAAACAAAAAATGTCAACAGGTAACAAAGAAACAATTTATGCGAAAATATAATACAAATATATACACAAACCCGCAAAATAGCGAGGCTAACCTACAATGTAGGCGCGTTTGTCCAACTGTTTCAGTACACTACACTCCTCCTATAGTTGCCAGATATGAGAGCTTACAAGGACTTCCCCTTCCCTTCCCTCCCCTCCCCTATCCTTTCGAGTGTGTAGTCTTGTAGTCTTGCGGACATCATGTGATCGTTTGTCTTTGTACATGTTCGATGATTGATGCAGTTTTGATCGCTGTATTTGTCAAATTTGCTGCAAAAAATGTCTTTCGTTCCTGAAAAGCGCCATTTACTTTCTTCATCGCAACAAAGCACAAGCTACGATACATTCGTCGCTCCTGCAGAAGGCGATGGAAGTGCGAGTACAGTTTCAACAGTCGAAGGTCAATCGTCTACGCTTGAAGGACAACAAGAGCTTGTGCAAAATCACATCTTTCAAATATCAAGCGAGGCTACCGAGGATCGCGAACCCGTTCAACAGAGAAATATATTATCATATTTGTGTTCTTTTAATCCGTTGAGATACTTGATTATTGCATTTGGACTATGGAGTGAAATGGGACGTTGTTCCATGTGTCTTATAATCCCAGTAGTTATAGCATTAACATTGCCTGTGGAGATATATCTTACTTATGTCGATTGCACCATCAAGGGAGATGGTTTTGGATGGTTTTTTTTCGCTAAAACAGGTCTGGATNCGAATTTTATCTTCTTGTTACGCTCACTCGTGAGAGATCTTTTCAAGTCTCCGCGCGCCTATGTAGTATCCTCCATATAACAGACCATAACATTTCTGCATAATATGTAGAAGAAAAAGCGTAGCGTTACAAAGCAGGACATGGCACTGGTAGCAAACTACGACGTGGGGGTGTGCCGCACGACCCCTTAAAAAAACCCTTAACCTGTCCCAGACCATTTTTATTTTACATACCCTACCCCAGACTAAAAGTACAAAGGTACATTATTTTAGCGCTGAAAGTGTGGCCTAGCAGATACGATCACAGGCAAAACTCCACCCTACCCCAGACAATGAGACTATACCCTATTCTAGACAAAATACTACCCTGTCCCAGACAAAACTACTATCCTAACCCAGACAAATGGGCAAAAAATGATACCCTATCCCAGACTTGGAGCTCCGAAAAAGGGACCCTATACTGCGCTACATACCCGTATAGCAAATATAGGTGAGTACCCCCCTGGGCGACGAGACAGCTAAGATAGCTTCTTCATGACTCAGAACTAAATCAACCTGAAATGTGTTTTTGTTTTTGTTTAGGCTAGCCAGCTAAAAACTCATGTACCATTGGCAAAATGTAAATTCTGGCAGCAATTTATATTTGTTTGTTTTCAAAATATAACCCCAATTTCACTTTTCAACTTCAATTTCATTAACAAAAATTACAAGCGAAACAAAAAATGTCGACAGGTAAAATAAAGAAACAATGTATGCAAAAATATAATACAAATATATACACAAACCCGCAAAATAGCGAGGCTAACCTACAATGTAGGCGCGTTTGTCCAACTGTTTTAGTACACTACACTCCTATAGTTGCCAGATATGAAAGCTTACAAGGACTTCCCCTCCCCTCCCCTCCTTTATCCTTTCTAGTGTGTAGTCTGGCTTCAGGGTCCGTGCAGGTCCTTAAATCCTTGAAAAGTGCTTGAATTGAAAACTCGTTTTCAAGGGCACTTGAAACTCCTTGAAAATTTGAAAATTTCGAAAAAGTCCTTGAAAACTCCTTGAAAAAGATAGATTTCTATCACGATGCGCTAGCGATCTCTGAATTATTCCGTCAAGCCGAAGTTTTGAGGTAAGAATGTACAATTAGCATGATTATGATGTTCCTTGAAAATACAATTTGGGTCCTTGAAAAGTCCTTCAAAAACTCATTAATTATCCATGAGGTATTCAGCCAATCCCTGATTGTAATTTGTACCACGTGAAGTAACTTGAAACCAGAGGAAGTACTCGTACCTTGTATTCTACCTTATTTCCAGTTACTTCTACCTTTTTCAAGTTACTTCTACATNTCACATCTTTCAAATATCAAGCGAGGCTACCGAGGATCGCGAACCCGTCCAACAGAGAAATATATTATCATATTTGTGTTCTTTTAATCCGTTGAGATACTTGATTATTGCATTTGGACTATGGAGTGAAATGGGACGTTGCTCCATGTATTTTATTATCCCAGTAGTTATAGTATTAACATTGCCTGTGGAGATATATCTTGCTTTAAATGTTGAATGCAACGTCAAGGGCAATAATTTTGAAGGAGGATATGATAAAAGAGATCTGGATCTGTGGATTTCACAATCCATGGAACTTTTATCTTATTTATTGATGGCTTTCTCTGTTCGAAAGTTGAGAAAGCATCGCCAGGCAATTTGCCTTTCACAAGCTTTCAGGCTTGCAAAGACAATCTGGTTGAATTTCATTTTACTTGTGTCGGTATGTCTAATAGTTTTATCAGTAGTGACAAGAAACTACTCCATCCCGCAAGACGGGTTACTCTACATTGGCTCTGGTGCAGTGCAGTATGAGATTTGGGGTGTAAAAAATCAGAAAATATATCTCAGATATCTCGTATGGCGGTTGATTTCCTCAGTCGTAACATGGCAACCTGTCATATGCTGTTTGCTATTTGATGTTATTATGAAGGCTCTGGCGACCCTTGTTGACCAATGCCTTAAAAGAATCATTACAATKAGGGCTGAATCTGTCAAGTATTACATTCAAATACACCAAGAGATCTGTTGTAAAGCGGAGTCGACCTTTTYGGTTTTCAAAGTATGGTTGACTTTTAACGTACTGGCTTTTATTTTTTTATTATTTTGGAACGGTATCAGAAAATCCATTGCTCTCATTGGAACCTACAGGTCCTTTGAATTTTTTCGTTCCTTGTGTTACGGACCAAACCTAGATGATTCGTTATATGATTTAGTAATGTGGTACTATCTCTGTACTTTGTTGCTGTATATACTATTCAATGTGTACTTCCCTTGGCGCTCAATGGCCTGTTTGAGACATTCTTTCAGCCATCTTGTGCAAGTATTAAATGACAAGMCAGACTGGGACCCGGAGCATCCATTCAACGATCGCTTCAACCTGAACTGTTTCATACAATATGCAAACATTGCACAGCGTCGTCCTTTCATGAATTTCACCTTTAGGTCGATAATACCCTACTTATCGATATTGCTTGCTGCATATGGTATTTCATTGGCTTTATACCATATCAGTTTGAGAATGAGGGTCATCAGTTAAATAATATGCACCGAATGGTATCTTAAGTGCGCAGTGCGTTCAGCAAGATTGAAGGTCCAGGGAGKTTGAATTTTGAAGGTTCAGGGAGAGAAAAATCAAATTCTCTACAAATCAATCTCGTTTATAACGACAAAACTTAATTTATTTATTTTTAACAAAGTCTAAATCAATAAAACTTTTGAATTACTAATTATCGCAATTATTATTATTTTAATAATAAGAAACATATTTTAGAATATGCTTCAATTTATATTTTAGTCACATGACTTTTCACTTCCTGAATCTTCATGAACCTTAAAAATTCAACCTCACTAATCCTTCAATCTCGTTGATCCTTGACTCCTGCAGCACTCCTCT